ATTTATGCATTTACATATTTTTATGAATTAAAACATTCTGAATTTATATTACTAGATTGATAATTTGATACTACTACATGAAAAACATATATATAAACTAAGAGGAATGAGTAGAACTTTAAAATCTTTTTTATTTTTAGGATTTAATAAATACTACGATAATATCTGGTCTTCTCAATTAAACAATGTACTTTTCTGACAGTTTAAAGTACTAAAAACAACAATGATATTTAAAGTCCTAGTATTAACCCTGGTCCAGATGATATTGAATCACTTTTGACCTATGAGAAGGCAATAAATATTCATCTGCAAGGCTTAACACGTTCACTGTCACCAGAAAATTGATAGCATGCTGAGCAATACATTCTAGACTGCACATGCTGCATCAGTGGCAATGAATGTGTTAATCTTATTGCTATAACATAAACAAGTATCAGCGTGGAGAGGTTGTATTCCTCTCATATGCAATATGCATTATATCAGTGAGAAGAAATCTAACCAATGTCTGGAATGTGAAGAAAATTACAACAATGGTTTTGTGGACAGAAAGCTCCAATTAAAAAAACAATTGAAGACTAAATCTTAAAAGCATTCAAGACATTATACTTGCTTAAAAAATATATAAAATGTATGAGATATATATGTAAAATGCATGTGACACAAGAAGATATTTTATGTACAAAATGCATATAAATTGCAAAAGTCACATATTTATATTTTTAAAATATATTCTTTTTTGCTGTATATCATAAGTATTATCGCATGACATTTATCATAATAAAAACTAGTTTTAAAATACATATAACAAAAATTTTTGTGCCACAAGTGACCGAATACCAATATATTTTGTACTGTTGTTTATGGTTGACCATTCGAGGGTTAATTCACTCGCCTGGTACATTACTTTATATACATTTTTTTAAATATTACAAATTTTCTTGCTAGATTTCAAGTTTCCTAGTTGCATATTATACATAATTATTTTATGTATTTATAGGAAAAGTGATGTACTATACCAGATATACTTTGTGACACTGCTTCAGGATTTTGTACACTGTTTCCTTGAGTTTGAGTTGAGGTAGTACTTGTATAAACACATGGTAAAATGCTATATGCAGATTTTGACAAACCAGCAGTACTTTTAAATTCATCTTTAAAGCCAGAACCCTCTTGTATAAGTTCCATGAGACTACTAGCACCAATAACTGATGCACTGTTACCTGTTTTATTGGAGGACACTGAAAGTATTAAACTTCGATAAATGTTTGTATTCGTTAAATATTCACACAATTTTTTATAACACTGTAACAGTATTCGTAATTGGACATTTTCAATGTATTTATCATAATCCTTGCACCAACCACAAGAGGGTTTTAGTTTTTTACGTCCACCTCTACATCCACGACACACATGATGTTGACAATTAGTTTCAGTTGGTGTATAAGGTTCAATTAATAAATTTGAACACACAGTACAACTTAAACTTTGTCGCAAGTATGGAACTAGCCTGTATAAATCTGTCCACGAGTTTGGATCATCAGCGTCTGCTTGTAAAACTAATCGACACGTTGATACGTAAAGACTCGTGGCATTCATTTTTTCTTGTCTTTCCCACGAGCAATACGTATAATTATACAAAAAAATTTACTAAACAATATAATACGACATCCTCACTACACACAAACAAAACATCACCCATATTTAATTCTTTTATTTGTATTTATAGGGGGTTCTTTGAATCACTTTGATTAAAAAGTACTACTAGATAGGAAAATCTTATAAAGATGTTGCCAATTCTTCAATTAAATTTAGGGACGGCAAACGTATGTTGGGGAAATCTTCCACTTTCCAGCTTCAATTCTAGGGACGGGGTCGGTGTTTGAAGTGCTATAGCACTTTCTGTCAGCTCGTGTTTGCGCGAAGAATATTTGAATAAATCAAATAAAACATGTTTAGCTCAATGTGACGTCCCTAGACGCTTGGGCTTCTCAGACGAGCACTTGCGGATCTCTCAAATTCCCCAAACATCTGAGTGGTTCGAAATGTGGCCACCAGATGCTTCATGAAATCTTCAATTTTCTCCAAAGTGCTCGCTTCAATCCTCATTTCTGTATATATCAGTTCTAAATCTCAATGACGTACACCTCTAAAATGGGGGTCGTCTGCATCAACCACATTGATATCCACCTAACCGATGATCGTGAGACAACGAAACACCTTTCCTTTTCCTCCTCATCACTGCATATCCCCTCTCTCCGAATAATGCTAATGGCCGGTAGACCGGGGATGGGGCAAAATTCCTTTCTTCTTGCGTACCACCACCCGAGTTTAGGGATTTGAGACGTAACACTCGAATTTTGTATTTTTAATATTTGTAGAGAAAAATTAAATACGTTCCATTTATACCCCAATTTACACATTCTGGTTTGTTAAGCTAACCAATACATATTTTATTTTTATAAATAAGCGGTTTATATATTAGCAAGCAGAAAATCTGAATATTACAATTTGTTTATATATTAATATTAATTATGTTTTGTATTAACAAATTTCTTATTTCAATTCATAAGTGAGCAGTTTGCACCTCAGCAGTAGTATACAGTGAGTCTCATCAATCTTTGCCGAATCCCTGAAACTAAACAAACGCCATTTTACACAGAACTACTGTCGTATGTTTGTTTAATTCTAGGGTTTCGGTAAAGATCGATGAAATTCAGTGTGCTTCGATATTGGAAGAAAAGATTCCAACATGTTTTCAGCATGTTTTTAATTATTACCTTCATCTATTCTACATATTTCACTTTGTTCACTGAAAAGTTCTTTTCTGAACCAGATAAATTCTACATTGATTCTATTTAGTGGACTTGAGTACCTTAGTAAGTTTAGAATAGATTTTTATAAAAGTTAGAGCACACAAAATTCATATTCTAAGAATTATGTTAATTATTGCTTTTAATTCTTTCAGATATTCCAGATTCGTATGTTTTCATAATAATTTAAGCACGTGTATTCCTGTTCCTGCAATCATTTTATTATTTTAAATTGTTGTAAGTATTTCAATTTATATTGAGAAAATTTTCTCCTTGAGTAAAAGCACTCAACCTTCTCAACCATGCAAACTTTATACAAACTTACAAATTCGTCCACTTATACCAAGTGATATTTACAATTTTTATAAGTTACATTAAACATGTAAATAAACAAATAATATAAAAAATAACGAATAATAGTCTTTTATTTCCTACGAAATGTTCTTACAACAAAATAATGCAATAATGAAAATTAAAAAAGGTTAAGAACTATGTCGCAAACCACACCACCGTGATAGTAACTGATCTACGTTACATCTTTCTCGCGTATTATCTACTACGTCATACTAGTTACTTTTGACGGTCTAAACTCACGCCACCACTGTTTCATCTTCATTTTCCAGCCTCGTACATTTTCTATCTTTATGTTATATATGACTATTCTGTGTCATTAAATTGTGAAGAAAAATATACGTAATTACTCAATTTTTTTATGTAAAAATGTGTTAAATTAGATGTATTAAAGTATTAAAATCAGTTTTTTTGTCATAATGTCTAGTTATAAATACTTTTAAAGGCACTTTTTTAAGAACTACTATAAGGAACAGGTACTTAAGTACGACTTTCAATTCTTACGAATAATGTACAATTTCGTACATTTAAGTATAAATTTTTATATTATTCCTTATCAAATTTACACAAAATTTGTTTTTTACAAATAAGTACTATGTTGTACAGCCGTTTCTTAAATTAATACACTGTTTTACAACCATTTCAATAAAATTATAGATTTCGTTAATGTTTTAGGTTAAATTATTTACAAATGGCAGATAAAGCTATTATGAAGGTATAACTACGTAAATTTATCTTATAATTCATCTTAATTCTAACATCTTTACATTATGTTTGTTTTAAATGATTTCTTTAAATATGTAGCAAATTGCAGAACAAAAACTTAAAGCATTTTCTATTGGTACAATGGGCAAAAGACCATTAAGTAAGAAGGAATTGGAAGAACAACGTAAAAAGGAACAAGAACAAGCTGCAGCTCAAGTAAGTGATATTCAGTATATCAAAAAAATGTAAAATTATACTTATAAATAATAACAGTATTCTTTTATTTAGTCATTATAAATTGTAGCAACTTTTCAAGAAACACCTAATAAAACAACAAGCAAAGTTTGGGTAAAAGCAGGGACTTATGATGCAGGCAAACGACGTAAGTTGATTTTATTGCATCGCTATGTATTTGTGATAAAGTATGCTTTCAATTGAAATGTTCTAAAATTAAGTGAATTACATAATTATTAGTAGTTTTATACTTTATATTTTATTTAAACAAAATAGATTAACAATTTATATTTTAAATTACATGGATTACTACTTATTTTTGTATAATAACATAAATATTTATTTAATAGAGGAAGATACCAGAGAAAAAGGTAAACTTTATAAACCTCAGTCAAAAATATCAGAACTTGTTGATAGCAGATCATCTGCCGAACAAGCACAAGAATATGCAAGATTATTAGGATCAAATGAAAGAAAATTAGATAGATTAGGGAAAAAGAAAAAGGAAGGTGAAAAAAAGAAGAGCAATCTTGAATTATTTAAGGAAGAATTAAAGATGATACAAGAAGAGCGTGAAGAAAGACACAAATATAAAGGTGTAGTGAAAAACGTTATTTCTGCTCAGTCAGAAGATCCAATGTTAGCAGCTCTAAAGTGTGTTGAAGGTAACTTGGATATATTTAATCACAAGCTTATATAATTAAAATGATTCATAAATCTTCATATGAAAAAATCTAAGTAATGACAACCTTTTCCAGTTACTTGATATAGACTATTATAGTGCAAATAATTATCTTTTTATGTGTAAATTACCAATTTAAATTTACTAAAATATATTAGGTGGAACATTCTCATATCCTGATTCACAAAAGAGTAACCTACATAACCTTATTGATGATCCACGTCTCCTAGCCCTGATTAATGAGGGTAAACAATACCCTTTCTAAAAGAATTCCTTTGTGTATTTACCAATATTGAAGTGATATTAAAGATATAGAAATATTTTTTTTTACAGATGGGTCTTTTGACAATGGTGATCCTAATACAACGAACCTATATTTGGGTAACTTAAATCCAAAGGTATAAATCAAGTTCCAATGTTAATTTTGTAATTTTAATACATGTACAGGGTATCATATTTAATAAGCTGATATTGTGTATTTTTCTTATCTTTTAGCTTAATATATTTAGTTGAAATTTAATATATAAGGTTGCTCATCTAAATGGGATCACCTAAATATCTGCCTTATTGGTTGTATAAAAAAATTTCTCAGGACAAAGTTATACTATTTAAGGGGGCACATGTGATCGTGGAAACAGTTTTTTTTCTCAAGGTCATTTCTTTTACAAAATTTCAAGGTTATCGCTATTGTTTTAAATGGCGCCTCATATTTTTGTTTCAATATCCTTGTAGAGAGTGAAAAAACAAATTTCACAAATTTCAGAACCTTGTTTGAATAAATCTTTAGGAAATTTTAATTATCTTTGTACGCAAATATCTCGACATTAAATAAAGGATGGTATAGTTATTAAGGTCGTTGAATTTTTTTTTTTTTTTTCACTCTTTACAATAATATCGAAACAAAAATATAGGGTTCCATTTAAAAAAATAGCGATGACCTTGAAATTTCGTAAAAAACTGATCTTGAAAAAAAAACGGATCCCACGATCACATGTGACCCCTTAAATAGTGTAACTTTGTCCTGAGAAATTTTTTTATACAACAACCAATAAGGCAGATATTTAGGTGATCCCATTTAGCTGAGCTACCCTGTATACAGGGTATTTCACCTAACTTGACCACCTTAAATATATCGCTTATTTTGTATGATAGAAAAAATGTCAGGGGGAGAAAAAATTCTGTTCGAAGGCGCCAATTCGGTGATGGGCCAATTTTTTTTCTCAAGGTCATTTTTTTCGAGATTTCAAGGTCATCGTGTTTTCTTTAAATGGGACTGCATATTTTCACTACAACAGTCTTATAGCTTATAAATAAACGAATCCAACGGGGTGCAATATGTTGACCTTCACGTTACCTTTAGCGAGGAAATTATGAAATGTTTGTCAGTAACTTCAGTACGCGTTCGGGGACGGTAAATGAAGGAATTTCAATTTCATTGAAACAGTCTTAAGTTAAATCTTTATTTTAGAAGGTTTTCAAAATGTGCACCATGAACTTGGATACATTTTTGGAGGCGGTAAATAAATTCTTGCTGTACATTTTTAAGTTGTTCTACAGTAATTGATCTACATTCATGTAGTACCCTTTGTCGCATGTTTGCTGCTGTTGTGGGAACATCGTTGTAAACTTTATTTTTTAGGTGTCCCCACAGAAAGAAATCAAGTGGCGTAAGATCCGGCGATCGAGCTGGCCAGCAAATTTGTGCACCGCGTCCTATCCAATGATCGGGAAAAATTCTGTCTAATACATTGCGTGCGACGAGTGCACGAATTTCGCTCGATCGCCGGATCTTACGCCACTTGATTTCTTTCTGTGGGGACACCTAAAAAATAAAGTTTACAATGATGTTCCCACAACAGCAGAAAACATGCGACAAAGGGTACTACATGAATGTAGATCAATTACTGTAGAACAACTTAAAAATGTACAGCAAGAATTTATTTACCGCCTCCAAAAATGTATCCAAGTTCATGGTGCACATTTTGAAAACCTTCTAAAATAAAGATTTAACTTAAGACTGTTTCAATGAAATTGAAATTCCTTCATTTACCGTCCCCGAACGCGTACTGAAGTTACTGACAAACATTTCATAATTTCCTCGCTAAAGGTAACGTGAAGGTCAACATATTGCACCCCGTTGGATTCGTTTATTTATAAGCTATAAGACTGTTGTAGTGAAAATATGCAGTCCCATTTAAAGAAAACACGATGACCTTGAAATCTCGAAAAAAATGACCTTGAGAAAAAAAATTGGCCCATCACCGAATTGGCGCCTTCGAACAGAATTTTTTCTCCCCCTGACATTTTTTCTATCATACAAAATAAGCGATATATTTAAGGTGGTCAAGTTAGGTGAAATACCCTGTATATATGTTGTTAAATAGTGTATAATGTTCTTCAAAAATAAGCAACTAATTTTAGAAACATATTTTATTTATCTACAGATCATGAAATTGGACTTAGGGACACTCCTTTTTGAGTAATAAATACTTCTATTTACAGGCTTATATTTGTGAAAATATTCAAAGCTATAGAACATTTTTGTTACTGTGTAGAAGCACTTTGATATCATATTGTTACTTTGCAAAAATACTTTGCAAAAGAAAGCGATTTTTAGTACTTTTTTTTAATAAAATGATGTCTAGAAAAGAACTTTATTATCAATAAATAATTGCTTACAACTCTACAAGAAAGTATTTCAGAAACCTTACTTTGTTTTTCATTATGACGCGTAGAATATGTTTTTAAAGTTATTTAAATAGAATAATGTAAATTATATAAATTTAATTTAAAGTACTCGAGAGTATTGTATCAAAGCAGACTTTAAAAGAAGTTTTTATATGTCCAAAATGAAGCTTGTTTTGCAATTTTTATTAGAAAAATAAATACAACAGAAAATTATGCACTATTGTGTAATTTTTCATGAAGATATAAAAATGATGTATTCAGGGTAGTAATGCTGCAGAAAATACCCTGTACATAAAGCACCTTAAATAAATTTGCTTTGCTATTACATAAAATGGTAGATTACAGAACAACAACTAATGGAAATATTTGGGAAATATGGTCCATTGGCTAGTATTAAAATTATGTGGCCCCGTAGTGATGAAGAGAAAGCCAGACAAAGGAACTGTGGTTTTGTTGCATTTATGAGTCGTAAAGATGGAGAACGAGCATTAAAAAATCTTAATGGTAAGGAAATAATCATATTATTTTATAACCTATAAAAAATACCTTTTCATTACTTTAATTAGCCAGTTTTATGAATTTTTTTATGCATTTTTATTTTTACATTGCATATTTTAAACATGACAAAATAAAGAGTAAAAATCTGTAGTAAAAAATATATAGGG